TAGCGCTTATCGTTGTTGGATAGAAATGGTCTCAACCAAAGGTCTGCATATGCACTATCGCCTGCGACGCTCATTGAGAGAGTCTATTCTTACTGATACATTTGGATGGCTCTATATCGTCAACAATATAAGATTTGTCGCTCCAGAACATATCACTCTTGCTTGGGGATTGTAACATGTTTTATCCTGATAGCAATAAAAAACGACTCCATTTTCCTGTGTTTCGGCACGGCAGGTTTGACCTTTGCTTTTGAGTGTCCCAACATTCACTGTGGTATCAGACAGATGGATAGATAGATAGATAGATAGATAGATAGATAGATAGATAGATAGATAGATAGTGATGGATAGATAGATAGATAGATAGATAGATAGATAGATAGATAGATAGATAGATAGATATAGATTTGAAAATGCGAACATACCGAGATGTGCCTGTTTGGAATCCTCATCCCCGTTTGTGTCTGAATCGTCCTCATCATCATCATGCATGGCTAAATCACGCTTGATCTGTTCCAGGGCGCTGTTCAACGCAGCACGTGATTGGGTCAGAGCGTCCAGGTAGATATCCGACTCTTTTTCCAGCAGTGCATCAGAATGACGCAGAAATTCTTGCTGGCGTGAGAGAGTGAAAGGAAACAGGTTCCTGGATTACAGTTGGAAAACAGATGACGTAAGTTTTAGGTTATTCACTGATTGCTATTCTGTGAGAACCAATGAGCAGCACGTTCTCAAACTCTCTCTCTGTCTCTGGTCCGCATGAGTCAAGTTTGTTTAGAACAAAAAATGTTGAGGCCCAAAAGTGATTCAAATATTAGTTAAATTGGCTGAAAAACAATTCGACTAACAGAAAATGCTCTTTTCTTATTGGGTGGAGCAATTGAACTTGTTCCCATTAGATGAGATTAGTTGATGGTTGGGGAAGCTTGAAAACTAAGCTGAAGTTTTCATTGTCAGACCACCAGAGGTGTGAATAATTCTTTTATAAATAATCCAACATATAA